AGAATACAGGTTGTGGTAAAAAACGAAACACGTGTCCATAGTGTAAAAATTTAAAATCAAACAAAAACTTTTTTAAAATCAGTAGACTTGCATAATGCATAAATTGGCGCCTCGCCCGATAAAAATGCAGATTAAAAGGTGCGAGGCCAAAGTCACTTATCGGAGTAGGGATCGCATTTAAACTGGATGATTATGATTTTTTTTAACCGACTTCAAATAAAAGGAGGTTCTCAGTTTAACTATATGTATGTATTTTTTGTCCGTGATCATCTCGGGATTGGCTGATGCGATTAGAAGTTGTTTTCAGAAAGTGTTTGTTACACTAAGAAGCAGGTTTAAACATGTTAAGTCGATAGCTTTGGTTCAGGAACCCTATGTAGGGAACACCGGCGAAATGCAACAATACCCTGGCACAAAAATAATCCAATGCACTTTGAATCGCCAAAAGCCAGTAAAGGCGGCCGTTATGGTTTTCTCGGATCAGCTGGAGATCATACATGATCCTCAGCTTGTAACGGAAACTGAAGCAGCCGTACTGCTTGTGTCAGGTAGCCTGCAGCTTGGAGTGATATCGGTTTACCTTGAGGGGGACCAAGACATAAACCTCAATCTGGTGCGCTTAAAGGAGTCCATACCAAAACTTACAACATGTTAAGCCAACTTCAAAAAGTGTTTTGAAATATAGTTTAATGAAATGTTTTGTTGGAAGTGGGACTTTTGTAGTATGTCTGTGTATACTGTCAAGCATACACCCTCATTACTACGCGGTAAGCATGCTTATTACCGCATATTAGCTGCAATACATTGCCCTTTGCATTACACTGTGGTTTTTTGAATTTACTCTTCTGTGGGAACTCCTAACTTTGAGCGTAAGTGGATTGGCTAATTTTAGTGGATGAGTAATGATGTTCTTGTTATGACTATAAAGGTTTTTTTTTTACCCCAAACGTAAAATGTTATGTTTTATATTTTTTTAGAATAGATCATATTATAAATATTATATTAGTCAGTGAGAGTCTGACACTACCTTCTGCCTCACCCAGGCGCGAGAAAACCTAGGATACCTAGTAGCTGAAGAAAGAAAGAAGTGTGGGAGAGCCATGCTTCGGCACGAATGGGCCGGCTCGACCGGAGTGATACCACGGCCTCACAAAAAACCGACGTGAAGCAACGCTTACGTTGTGTTTCGTCGTGTGAGTGAGGTTACCGGAGGCCCAATTACCCTCCCCTTCCTCAATCTCCCCAATCCTTGAATCCCCATCGATCCTCAAACTCCTAATCCCCAAAAAGCCGGTAACGCACTTGTAACGCCCCTGGTGTTTCAGGTGTCTATGGGCGACGCCGATTGCTTACCATCAGGTGATCCGTCTGCTCGTTTCCCGGCTTATTCCATAAAAAAAAATGAATTTCAATTTCCGGAAACTTAAGATACAAAACACAGCAGCATCATAAGACTTCACTATCTACATAAAATGACTTAACTTGTAACAAACCAGAAAATATAATAAAGAATAATTAAATACTATTTATCAGTCATCCATTTCCGTGGGCATAAAAAAATAACCAGGAAGAGTTGAGTAGCGTAGCTATGGGCAGTTAATGGGACGGTCCAGTGAGCTTCATCGTACCATATCGCACCCGTCATAACCACGCGTGCCACGGCGAAAATCATCTTTAAACACTTATACAGTACTCAATTTTCAACTTTATTAATTTCGTATAAAGTTGTAAATTCATCGACAGATAGGTGTAGGTTGACCTGCTTGCTCGTGTTCTCAAGTACACTGGCGTTCCAGAAAAACTGGGCCCCCAGTAATTGCTCATAAGTGAATGAACGGGCAATGCGTAGTTATTGTTTGTCGAATATAAATAAGGCAAGGTAATGTAATTGTGGTATGAAGTGCATTACTGCATGTTTCGTTCTGCATTGAACTTTGTAGTGATGTCATAGTGGGTGATTTTATAAAAGCTGTTGATGCGAAAAGGAATTGCAAGAAAAAGTATTTCTTTTTTATTAAAGTGCTTTATGAATTCGATATTTTTTAATAAGTTTATCTGAACTCAAAGTACAGGTACTTGAAATAATTGAAATGGTTAAAAGAGCCCTGTTTATGAGGGAGTAAGAGATGATTTTGTCACTGTCTACCTATTTGCTATCTCTCATTACAATAGTATTAATCTACCAAAAAAAATGTAACAAAGAATATGTTATTGCACTAAACAAACCCTATAGCATTATGTTAATGTTAAATAACAAAACTTCCATAACCTCACAATATCTTTAAAAAATTACAACTACTAATGGCAACAACAAAATAACATAACATCACACCTTTTATCCCCGTAAGGCTAGGCAGAGGTGCACATTAAAGCACTTAAATGCCACTGTACAATGTAACACCCACTTTTCATGTTATGAGTCGCATGTAATAGAGGGTGGGCCTAGTGCTATATACCGGGCACAATTCCACACTCCGTGCTACTGCTGTTTTTTTAAATTCAGTAATACTTTGCTTGACCTGGGAATCGAACCCCAGACCCTTTTCCTGGCAGTCGCACTTGCGAATAATCGGCCAACGAGGCAGTCTTATGACATATCGCTCAAAACTGCTAAAAATGTTAGCCAATCCATACGCATACTTGCCAAAAAACAGTAGTACCTTTTTTTTTTTTTTTTTGAGGGGGGAAAATCATCCAATGACTTCTCCCGCCTGGGCGAGGCGGAAGGGAGTGTCAGACTCTTACTGACTAAAAACCACCCCGTTCCTACACCTGCACTTCGAACCGGAGCCCCGGCAACCCGTTAAGTCTTCCGCGGCTCAAAACAGTAGTACCTACCTATACAAAATCATAGTATACACTTTGTCCCATACTTACTCCAACATACACTAAAACATATTTGTATAACAATCATAAAAGCAAACTAATTCTATGTAATTAATGTAGCGGTGCGGTGCCGCGGTGGCGTTACGTTTCAGTGAAAATGCAAGCCGTTGACACGAAAGTGCTATTACGTTGGTTTACAAGGTTTCGGCGCATTACCTTACCTTACTATAATAACTAAACAAATATACGTACATATGTATAGTCGTCTTTGTGAGACCACCCCGGGGCTAAGCAGGACAAAGTGCGTGAGAAGTGTGTTTTACTGATTTTCCGCGCCTTTTCATTGAAGCATGTGAAGTTCAGGCAGTTCAGTTGAACTGCGTTGTTTTGTGTTGTATTGTATGTGTGTTGAACTACGTGGGTATTGTATTTTGAGGGCATAGGCATAGACTGAAGTGTTGTATTATGGATATTGGATATTTGTTCTTCACACATTCTAGATTAGACATGGACAACTAGGTCTCTATAAATCGATAAAACTATTGTTAAACTCCTGTTGCGTTCTGCATGCGCCTCAAAGAGCCATCAGACCACCACTGATGGGGCCCAATAGGGTTACCGGGGCTACGGCTCGAAGTGCAGGAGAAGGAACGGGGTGGTTTTTAGTCAGTAAGAGTCTGACACTCCCTTTCGCCTAACCCAGGCGGGACCAGACATTCGATGGTCTATCCCCTTTAAAAAAAACTGTAGAACACAGAAGTTAAGTTATGAACTAATATTCATGAACTGACTTCATCTTTTTTCTATATATTTGATGGGGCGACGTTTGGCCACTATCTCGCCTGGTAGTAAGCGATGATGTGGTCTATACGATGGAGCACGTCGTCCCATAAACAACCTCCTCACTCAGGTCTTGAAGACACTCTGGCAAAGAATGTCCTTTTACTTTTGTTACAAGGTGTCTTTGAACAATAAATTTACAGCCATTTTCTTTTCTTGACAAATCATTTCAATAATTACTTATGGATATGAGAGAAACACTCATCTATTACAGTTATTCTTTACAACACACGATATTACACATTAAGGCTTTAATTGCCGAAAAAAACTGTTAATCCTTCACTAGCGTCAGTCCTCATTGTTCGACAGTTACGATGTTGCATTGTAGTTACGAGTTTACCGGAGGCCCAATTACCCCATCCCAAAATGTCCCCAATCCCGGATTCTCCAATAATCGTCAATTTCCTAATCCCTGACTGCCTCGTTGGCCGAGTGGTTACAAGTGTGATTGCCGGGCAAAGGGGTCTCGGGTTCAATTCCCGGGTCGGGCAAAGTATTATTGGGTTTTGTAAGAAATTGTCAGTAAGCCACGGAGTCTGCTAATGTGTCCGGTATATGGCAATACGCTGGCCCCCTAGTACATGGTACTCGTAACATAAATAGAGTGCCGTAATGTGCACTTCTGTCTACCCCTTCAGGGATAAAAGGCGTGATGTTATGTTATGTTCCTAATCCCCAAAAGGCCATCGGGTGTCCATGGGCGACGCCGATTGTTTACCATCACGTGATTCCCCAGCTCGTTTACCGGTTTATTCTATAAAAAACACGGCATCCAATGTGTTAATGTATGTCTAAGTATTTATAACAGTACTAAATGGGTTTGAATGCCCATTGAATGGGCGGAGCTGTTACCGCCTTCTGTTGACATGAGTGGGTGTTTGACGTTGCCACCGATTTAATATAGCTATTTGCAGTAACACGATGTTTTAGAGTCTGTTATTGAAACCATTTTCTTGTAAACAAAAAGGTTAATAATAATTTGTTTGTTTGAAAGTTTAGTACAGGGTGTGATGCGGTAGAAGTGAGGTCGTAAATACGTGTATGGTTAGCTATTTATTAAAATTAAAACATGGATGACCAAAAATTATGCGAAGAGTTAAATTAACTAGAAATTCTAAGTACCAACGATGTTTTTCACAGAAATATTAATTTATATTAATACTTTATTATATCTGTGATGTTTTTTATAAAATGTGCAAACTGTACCGATTACGAAAAATAAATAAACATGATATATATGACATACCTATTTGCAAATTAAGTCAATGTTTATGTACAGAGATTTGAGCACGAAAATCCACATTGTTTAAGACCTCATTTTTTTTCTTTTACAGAGTGCTCATCACCATTCCTAGCGAGATGAAAGCATAAGGTAAGAAAGATTATATCAACAACAATACAATATACAAACGATTCACTTTAATAATAAATATTACACAACATATTATATTAACAATGCTTTAGATTGTAATATTATTATAATCAGTCGGACGGACGCCACCGGCGTGGTAGTTTATCACGCGTGTCTGATAGAGGCTAGAGTAGATAACGAGATGTGTCTTTAAGAGTTATTGTTCTTATCTATATTAAATTATTTTATCTTATGACCACGTGTTGAATTCTCGAATGTTAATCTCTCTATGTATGAAAATGCACAGACAATAATTATAAAAGAAGTGTCTTTAAAAACTAGGATAAAATTTGCATTCGATATTTTTTTGCTTTTAAAAAAACATTGCCCCTCACTAGGATTTTCTCCTGTGTCGTGGGTGCGTTTACAAACATACAAGTTCACATACACATGACACCCAGACTCGGGACAACTATCTGTGGATCACACAAACAGTTGTTCCGTGCGGGAATCGAACCCGCGACGCGTGGCATTGCAGCCGGTTGCTCAGCCACCTCACCATCCGTGCATCATCATCTTTATAGTTAAATTAGATTAAATATTTTCTATAATATAATTAAAAATACCCACAGTTTGATATAAATCGGAATTCAAATAAAAAAACACGTTAGATCAAATATATATTATGCATAAAAAATAATTCGGTTTGATGACTTATACAATCTAAAAAGATGACTGCCCAAACAATTTTCTTAATTGGAGGTCAATGAATGTAGAGCATTATCAATTCAAAAAGGCCTATTAAAAATAAACATATTATAATAAAAATGCTTCTAAAATTGGGTGCGAAAGTGTAAAACTGTTATAGTTATTACAACCTTGATATTTAAGTCTTTAGGTATAATTTGATAGAATATAAAATTACGAAACTTTTGTCACCTTGTATCGAATGCTTCGAACAAATTGTTTGTGGACTGTTACTTTTGGGACTACACAATTTGACAGCGACCGGGCAGCGAGGCTCTCTAATAAACTGAGGGCCTAGTGCAAATTGATTTTTATATCGAATCATTACCGTGTGTTAACTAGCGCCTTCTCTGATTGGTTGGTTAGCTTAGAGCAGCCAATCAAAGGGCACACACATCTCGATCGCGGTAACGTAAAAAAAATCACACTAGGCCCTCTCGTCATATAGAACTGCAAACTCGAAATCGTCTGAGGAGCGTAGATATTATGGCAAACTGGCTCTTATGTTGAGGAGAGTCTAGCAATGGATTGTCACGGACTGTTGATATTGTGCACTGTCACTTCTAGTTTCTTTATCATTGTAGTATTCATTTTGCGCTTGGAAAAGTTGTCACGATCCATTGGTGAGTTTATAGGATAATACAACAGCTTGTTAGCACCATCATGTTCAGGACAAGATCCTTGATGTCAGATGAAGGTATTCGTGAACGATAAAATCGTAGGCGTGTCAATTATGCGTATATTATTATTAGTACGCGAAAATGTGATGCTGTAATGGTGTTTGCTTTACAAATTGTTAACAGTATTTTTTATTGAGAATATACCTTAGTAAGAGGGTTGCTTCGCAGTGTATTAGTTTCTAACGCAACTGCCAAAAAAAGGGGTATTTAATTAATGCTATTTATATCGGCAAAAATTTTGGGCTCACACAAATAAATCGGATATTGTGTTGTGCCTGACCTAAGACTGACGTATAATGAAACAAATGACATATTTGACAAAAGGTATAACTGAATTATAACATAATAATAAAAGCACAGAACATATAAAGTCTGTGAATAAAAACATAATATAGTGACGTGACGATATCATGATAAATAGTCAATGTTGTTTGTTAACCATAAATTCATTAAAGTCTTTGCCACGTCAATCAGTTTCCCAGTATAAAATTGACCTTTACACTTGTAAGTTTCTATTGCAAACTTGTTAGGAAAAGTCTACAACGAGAGGTGTCTAAAAAATCTATTTCTTATGATACTAAACATTTTGATGACGTTTTAAAATCATGCTTACATTTAACTTTGTCCACAAGTATTAATTATTCATTTAAGTTTACTTAGTTCATATTAAGGAACCCGACTATTTTTAACAACTCGAATTTGACAAAATCGGGCCTGCCATTTCTTGCTCGGTCTCAGTCACATTTACAGCCACTTGACCATCGACACCGCAAGTAATCCATAAACATCAGTATTACAAACTGCTTTACATTGCAACATGCAACCAGTTTCCATAATACGCTGAGACAGAACGGAAAATGACAAGCGATCAACAGATCTAATCGACATATCGGACTATGCAGGGAATTTAAATGAGACGCGATTCTATCTCGTGAATGATGTTTAAGTGCGAAACTTATGACATTGCTGGCAATACTGATCAGTGTTGGTATGTATTTGTATTTATTAATAATATTTTAATAACAAATACAGGAGAGTAATTATAATATTATCAGTTTTTTTTAGCCTGTCTCGTTAGCCGACTAGTTGTAAGTGCGACTGCCAGGCAAGGGATCTCGGGTTCGATCGGGTAGGGCAAAGTATTACTGGATTGTTAAAAATTCTCAGTAAAAGCACGGAGTCTGGAAATGTGGTATATGGCCATAGGCTCACCCTATTACTTGGGACTCGTAACAAAAATAGTGAAAAGTGGGTGTTACATTTTACAGTTGCATTAAATGCCGTAATGTCCACCTCTGCTTACTCCTTCGGGAATAAAAGGCGTGATGTCATGTATGTATCGATGTGAAATTCTTAAGTAAAATTCACTATAATTTTGACTAGTGTAAGTAAAGTAACCCTATACAGATAAAAATGCAAAAGTCTCGATAACCTCTCAAGACCACTCTACCAAACGCTTTACTAAGATCCGAGAAGTATCAACTATGTATTATTTATATTGCAAAATGTTTATAAATACCATCCGGTTGTTTGGCCTGATGACCGATTGCTGTACAAACCTGTCCCCTAGCCATCAGTGTAACAGATGGAGTATGCAATCTAGTGGACGAACAAATTGATATTGTAAATAATTCTACAAGTCTCTAATATCTTGAAAAGGCTATCTTGACTTTAGAAGTCGAATTTAATCAATACTTTGAAGCTAAGAAAGTGGATAGAATATGACGATATGTAAAAATAGAGGTATGTTTGTATGTCATTAGTTGCTAAAGATTGAATTATCTGAGATTTTAGTTATTTTTTTCTTCTTGTACCGCATCTGGAAAGGAAAATAAAATTGTCCAATGCACCATTCTGATTTCTCCAATAAAGATATAGGCATGTGATATTGAAAGTGATAAACGAGAAGAATTTAGTATCTAATAAATAAACTTCCAAAGATTTTATTACATTGACCTGTAGTGCTAACGCTGCTTGAAAATTTTAATTAAACATTTCATAAAAGCATCTTCAAATGATTAAATCAAAACCGTACCACAAACTGTTACTAGAATCTAGATAGTAACTAATAAAGCCTTAATTGCAGCTAATGAAAAGCTTCTACAAAGCCTAGACGAAGGTGTAGGCCTGAGCGTCTGACAGGCACTTACATTAATACCAGCTTGTAGTCGTAGGTTCATTGTTCAACCTGTGAGAATTGATAGGTCAATATATGCGAACTCTGAAGGCTCTTTACACTAAGATAGTAAGCGAGCTTCAATGGGTAGTACTTGCATTAGTTTTCTATAAGGAAAGTCAATCTCTGTATGTACCTCCTATGTTGATATGTCATCATTTAGAAAACGTGCATATGTGTATTCATGTGACTGTGATTTGTTTCTTTTATATTTTTTTTGTGTTTTCTCTACTGAGATTGGGTCTTAATCAAATTTGGTTGTACCTATGTCAGATTTTTATAGGAACCGACTTTTCCATTAACATTTTACAAGCAGTCATTCAAAGGAATTATTTGATAGCTAATTCAATAAATAATCATGTCTGGTAAATTTGAATTTAATTTTAGCTGATTGATTTTCTATTTTTTCTGAAATTTTAACCATACATTATTCCAAGTGTCGTTAACAAACACAATTATAGTGATTACATATATTTACATATCTACACAATAGAGTGATGTTTTCATAAATAAATAGTTCTAAAGTAAGATTTTTATAAAACTAAAACCAACACAAAACATTACTAAAATAAACAGTTCAAATGTATTTGTATGAGCTTGGAATGCCGGACCTGACATTTCTAATTAGTTGTATTTAATATTCGCGGTACAAGATAAATATTAAAGTGTGATGACTGTATAATATGTTAAGTTAATCACCTTTTAATATATTATTAGACATAATGTCATTAGTCTGAAGAGAGCACACAATTAGTCACGTCCACATTATGTTAACTAAGAAACCGTGATTACCTAACTAAAGAAAAATATCGTATTAGAATCAGATTAAAATTAAACTCTTATTCCATAAAACCACTAATGAATGAACTGTATTAAAAAAACAACTTCGAGTAAACAAGCTATTTGACTCGAACTTAAACTGTCAAACACCGCGAAGACACCGGTGACCGCAACCTATTGTTCTTTAATTGTGTCTATAACAACGGTACTCAAAGGGTTAATTACCTTTAAGCGAAAACTGCTTATAAACCAAAAAACAATGCCACATTTTTAATGAAATCCTTTTCACTCCTAATCCAATCAAATATACCAAAGTCCCTCAACTGCCTTGAGGAACTCCAACAATCCTAACCTTCATTTCCTATTACCTTTAAAACGAGTTCTATAAGCTGATGGTGTAACAAGAAATAATGGGAAGGAAACAGCTAATGACCCATGTAGTAGACAACACGCTGTACTGGAGTATTATTTTAATAAGCACCCCAACGCTCAGCAACTAGCTGTGTAATTAGCTGCTAAGCAGTAGCAGGTAAACAATTACGTAATAATCTAGAAGACAGTGTAGATTGATGATAACACATAAGTACACATCACATTTTGCTATGGGGAGACAAACCATGGTGTCAACAATTGCAATT